TTATATAAACACAAATTTATTTAAGGGCAGTCTTTTATTGCACATCGAAACAAGGATAGGCTGCTAAAGATCTAGTACATGAAGTTCGTAAAAAATAAGTGGGTAAAAGTGGTCGGCGTTAATCAATCCCATCACGAGGGATGCGCCACGCATTCGACTTCATCTGGATATCGTAGAGGCGTTGAATGCGTATGTGCCCTATACAATGACTTGCGGGGGGCATCCGATGTAGCAAGTCAGTGCTTCATCCTCTCAGATTCCTCTGGTACCAATCTACCGACCCCGGAGGGATGGAAGGCTTGGTTGGCCTCGGGCGGGATCGAACCATCGATCGTGTGCGTGCGCAGCGAGCCTCTTACCACTGCGCCACACGCGCCCACGTAAAAAATAACAGTTTCAATTTAGTTGACCATTCATCTCGGAAAAAATTGCAGAAATGAAGAGAACTATTGAGAAATTATGCAGTTTTGCTCGTTACAGCAGGACATACGGGATGCGGATTGGTGTGGCAGGAATGGGCGGCACGGTCGAGATCTGTGATTGGTCGCGTTACTTCACCGGCCAATCGTGGAGCTCGGAGACACAGCCCCTCCCAGGTTCAACATTTCACACCCCTGACAGGAAATTCTTCCACTTTTTGGGAATTACATATATAATACCACACATAATGGTTTACCTAGTAGCTAGTTATTTTGTCTGGGATATCAGTAATAGAGAGAAATTCTAAGGAATACTAAGGAATACTAAATACTAATCGGGAATTCTAAGGAAGTAAAAGAATTAGTGAGAGATTTTACTCCTAGCAGTTGCGCATGAGAATCCTAAGAACCCTAAGGATCTGCTTCAAGAATAAATTCAGTTAGTATAGGTTCATGGAACGAGTGAATGTGGATGAAAGAAGCAATTTTCCACAAAGTAGCTCTTTATTTCGCAGACCGAAAATACCGAGAAATTAAATTTTGGAACAAAATTACTAGAAGGATTTTGTAGCAGAAATGAAGCGCTTTCAAATGATATAACACATATCACCTTTGAATAACAAATTCGCACAAAAATTAAAATTGAAAAGGCCGTGTGGACATATTTTAACACCAAATATGCTGGAACCGTGTGAATCAGCTGATCCAAGCTGACGTTTTTTTTTTTCTATTTATAGCATTTTTGATTATGTTTGAGGTACCCGTGGCAACGTTATCAGGTGTTATTTGATGTATTTAATAGGAAAACTTTCCAAAAAAGAAACCACTGCTCAAAATGTGATGATATAAATGCTGTGAAGAGACTTACAATGATGGGCACGGGCAGAGCAAGCGTAAGCACTCCAATCAGCGCGCACATGGAGCCGACGATCTTTCCCTGAGGGCTGAGTGGGACCAGATCGCCATATCTGAACAAAACCTTAGCAATCCTTGCTGCACGTCCACCAAATTCTGGATTAGTCGCACGT